CATCATCATCATCATCATCATCATCATCATCATCTCCATCATCATCATCATCATCATCATCATCATCATCATCATCATCATCATCATCATCATCATCATCATCATCATCATCATCATCATCATCATCATCATCATCATCATCATCATCATCATCATCATCATCATCATCATCATCTCCATCATCATCATCATCATCATCTCCATCATCTCCATCATCATCTCTACCACCACCACCACCACCACCACCACCATCTCTCTCTCCTCCTCCTCCTCCCTCGATGACTCCGTGTAGGCACCAAGGAGTTGTCGGCGCACGAGAGGAAGAAGGCGGCCGAGGCTGCTCTTGATCGAGCATGCAACATCCAACGGTGCATGGCGGCATGCGGCTGGAACGATGATGCTGACTTGTTGCATGGCCAGAGACACGCAGGAGTCTGTTCAAAGAAGCATCGGAATCATCCAAGATGCGCAGGCGGTGAGGGCTTGCTTCCGCTGCTGCTGCTGCTGCTTCTGCTGCTCCGCTTCCTCCTCTTCGTTCTCTACCTCCTCCTCCTCCTCCTCCTCATCATCATCAGTTGCAGCAGCAGGGCATTTCCCCCTTTTCACTGCCACAATACCTTTATCTCACCAACCTTGTGCACCACCTCCCTCACCTCGTCCTCCTCGTCCTCCTCCTCCTCCTAGCTCTTCGTGGGCTTAACGGTTTCATCAGTCCGGATCAGAGGCAGCAGTCGTCATCAAAGGGCAGACCGAGCAAGTGAGTGCGCAGAGGACTCGACAGGAGCGACTGACATGCTCGACGGCAGCTAAAGAGCATTTATGCGGACTACACGTCACTTGAGGAGGAGCTCTCAAAGTACGTTGACGCCGTCCTGCTGCGTCCTCCTCCTCTAACCTTTCCTTCTTGCCAGGGCTAATCAGACTCTGGTCAAGGTTCCCCCCTCACTTCAGCGACTCTCCGTCAGCTCCCCTGATCCGGCTTCCCTGCAGATGGCAAGGAGAGCGATTACCGACAAAGTCACCATGGTCCTGCTATTCCTTATCGTCATCGCCATCGGAGGGTAACGATTCCCATTCCCCCCTCCTCTGCTCATCGCACCCCAGGGCCATCGCAGTCAAGATTCTGGTTCCTCCACCTGAGAACAAGCCAATCAACCCTATCCTCCTGCCCCTGCCCCTGCCCCTGCCCCTGCCCCACCACCACCTCAACCTCCTCCTCCTCCTCCTCCTCCTCCTTCCCCCCCCCCCTCTTCGACTCCCTCTTCATCCTGATATCAGCATGTGTCGTTGTGCCATCTCAGCCATGCCATGTGACAGTAGAGACTGGAAGTTCTTCTTGTTAAATTGTGACTAGATTACTCTGCGTTTTCCACTCGCTTCTCCTACTTACGCTCGTTGTCAGTCCCTCCTCAACCGCCTTTGACAAGTAGAGCCTCGCAGCAACGGATGTCGAAAGAGAAGATTGTCAGCATGAGTTGACTTCAAGACTACACCAGGAACGCGCACCAGGGTGAACAAGGCAAGACCGTTCGTGTTCATAACGTTGCTCTTCACTCCTATCCTATCCCCGGAACGCAGTCTACACAGTCCTCTTCCACCTCAAGGAGTAGGAACCGTCGTGCAACGAGCATCGCTCGCTGGAAGCACCTGCATCCCTTCCCGTCAGCCTCTCCGTCTCCTCCTGTCCTCGTTCTTTTCCCTCCTCTCCTCCTCCTCTTCTCTTCCTCCCGCGCTACTGCAACCCCCTGCATACGATCCTTGCCCCCCTGCCGCTTGCCTCCCTCCCTCCCCCATCGCCTTCTCCTCCCTTGCCTC